CTGAAGTGGCTGTGGCTAGCTTCATAGTGCTGCACTTTAACCCAATACACCAGCAGAGGGGTGGAGGAGACCCATATTGGTTCTTGAGTTCAAGTCATCTTGATTGATCATGAGGCATCAATCAGTACAACATCAGAAAATACAGAACCCAAGCTAATACCCTCAGCCATTATCCTATGACCCTTAATTCCAATGCGAGGCCATCACAATAAGACTAGGAAGGAATGCTGTCTAGCCTAATCCATAGAAACTGTATAGAGCACCAAGCAGAGTAAGGAAGCAGATGATCTCACCACAATCAATAAATCAAGGCAAAATACTGGGGGGGAAAATAATGCAACAAAACTAAGCAAATTATTAGAAGAAGATTTCAGAGCAACAACCTTTAAAATGCTTGCTAAAGTTAGGATATCAATGAATGTGCAAAATAAGAACTACAAAAAAGATCAGAGGAAAAAAATAAGCTTCAAACAATTCACAGAGATTAAAAAATGAAATGGTTGAACTAAAAATAAACAAATAATAGAGGGACTCAACAATGGTTTTAATGAAGAAGAGGAACAAATTATCAGGATGGAGATAGTTTAATGTAAAGTATCCAAAAAGGCCAGTTAAAAAACAAACAATTTTAAATGATTGTTAAAATGATAATAACGAACGAGACTTACGGGCAGCATCAAGAAGAACAACATTCAAATAGGAGTTCCAGAATGAGAAATTTGAGAGAGAAAGAGGCAGAAATCCTATTTGGATAAATAGTATTTTTTTTCAAACTGTGAGAAGACACAGACATCCAGATACAAAAAGCACAAAAAGTTCCAAACAAAATAAACCCAAACACACACATCCCAAGGCATCATATTTAAAATCCAAATATTAAAGATAAAGAGAATTCTTAAATCAGACACAGGAAAGCAAAGAATCACATCTAAGGGAAAACTCTTATAAGACTATCAGTAGATTTCTCAGCAAAAATATTATAGACCAATGGACTGCCAAGATATATTCAAAGTGTTGAAAGAAAAAGACCTGCAGCCAAGAATCTTTGGTACAGCTAGTCTAACACCCAGAATTGGAGAAGTAATAAGCAGCTTTAAAAACAAACAACAGTTAAAGGAATTATCCTTGCAAGAAATAATAAGGGATTTCTATAAGGTGAAAATAGAATTAGAAGCAGTAAGACACCAGTAATATAAATTATGGGGGAGAGGAAACTAATCAAGAAGCAAAAGGGACACTCTTAAATATAGCCTTAAATTAGGAGTTAGACCATATGGGCTTAGCAGACATTTAAAAGGCATTACAACCCCACCCCTCAGAAAAAATAAAGCTGAGTACACATTCATCTTAACTAGACACAGGACATTCTCAAGAATAAACCACATGTTGGGTCACAAGAAAAAAATACCAACAAATTCATGAAGACAGAAATTATACCAGGTAACTTTTGTGATCACAATGGTAACAAACAAGAAATCAAAAACAAAAAGATAGTGAGAGAAAGCTTCAAATATGTGAAAACTAAACACTGTGCAACTGAATAACCATTGGATTGATGAGGAAATCAAACGAGAAGTTATAACAACAAAAAACAAAAACAAAAACAAAACCTGAAGACAAATGAAAATTATGACACCAGAAACCACAGAATGTAACAAGACAGTAGTAAGAGGGAAGTTTACAGCAATACGAGCCTACATCAAGAAACAGAATCTTAAATAAAAAATGTAACCTTAAACCTTAGGAACAAAAAAAGATCAAATGAAACCATAGTCATACACAAATTGGATTAAAGACTAGTATGTCAGAGTTAAAACCTTAAATTGCATTTAAAACATAGAACATGCAAACATAGTTCAGAACTCAACTATACTAGCAAGGGAAGCAAATGCAAAAATATACAAATTGGACTACAACAAACTAAAAGTCTTCTGCACAGCACAAGAAACTATCACTAAAATGAAATGAAGACTAGCAAATGGAAAAAATATTTGCACACCATGCAATGTTAATATCTAAGATCTACAAAGAACAAATACAACTCAACATCAAGAAAACAGATACAGTAGACAAAATATTTAAATAGATGCTTGTCCAATGATTATATACTGATAGTCAATGGGCACATGAAAAAATACCCATTATCATTTATCATCAAGGAAATGCAAATTGAAACCACGGGTGAGATTCATACCTAAGAGAATATTCCAAGTGAAAAACCAACATAAACAAGTGTTTACCAAGGGTGTGGAGAAAATGGAACCCTATTGTACCATTGCTGGGAAAGTAGATAGCTCCTGCCCCTATGGAAAAAAGTATGATGGTTCCACAAAATATTCAAACTAGAACTCCTATAAGATGCTGCAATTCTACTTCTAGGTATCTATCCAAAGACTGCAAAAAGTCATTCAAAGGAATAATGTGCATTCTTACACTCCCGGCAGCATTGCTTACTATAAATGCAACCTCAGTGCTCAGCAACAGATGAGTAAGTGAAGAAAATGTGGTGTATTTGCAAATGGAATACTACACAGCTACCAAAAAAATGAAATCATGCCATTTGAAACAACATGGAAATGGAGGGTTATACTAAAAACAAAGTTATGTCCAGGGGAGTAAAAACAAATCCTAGATGATTTATTTGTATGTAGACTATAAAGCAACAAAACAAAGGGACAGACAAAGCTAAATCAAACCAACATTAGAAAACTTACTGCAGACCTGATACTACCAGAGGGTAAGAGTAGGGAGGGGGAGCTATGTGAAGGGGTCCAAGGGTCTATGTTGAAAAAGTACTGGTGCTATGGTTGGTATGGTAACATACTCTTAAAGAAGTATGAACCTATGACCCTTAAACACATGTAGTGTTATAAACCATTATGGCAATAAAAATTAAATTTCTTAATAGTCCAACCCTGAAACTTCAATAATATACTTAACCTCTTTGTGCTTTAATTTCCTCATAACTAACATAAAATAATAACCCTCCATTTTCTAGAGTGGCAGGAGAATTAAAATTGATAATGAGGAAAACCATATCCAAGTGCTATCACATAACATATATTCCACACATATTACTATTATTGAATTCCCAACTCAGCACTAGAAACTCCATTCACCACATAACCTAAGTCAAAAATTTGGGAATCATATTTAACGCGTCCCTTTTCCTTCACCTGTAAATAGGTACACCCTGGTAAGATTCATCATCTTACCCCTGACCTTCATTAAGTTTCTTGAGTTCTTTCTCAAGGACTATCAATAGTCCCCTGACCCACTGATCAAATTCCAACATCACAGTCTTCCAAACTACCCTCTACTCTGTAGCCAGAGGACCTTCCCAAGATACAACCTGGATATTGTCATGACTGTTTAATTCTGCCCATTTGCTTGTTGTTTCTGGGAAGCATTAAGTATTGCACTAAGGCTTACTATGACCTGGGGCTTGCCTACCTCCCTTCCAACTCAATCCCTTGACTACTTGCAGATCACCCCATATGTCCATAGTGTTATGCATACTGCTTCCTTTGCTTGAAAGTTCTCATCCCTCATGACTTTGCTTGATATTCAAACAAATACCTACTCACCGTTCAAAACATTTAAAGCACCACTTCTGCTATGAAGTTATTCCTGATAACTTCCTGTCACATCATTAATCACTTTTTATCTTACATCTATACCTGACAGAAGAATTTCTATCAAAGATGAACAATGTCTGATTCCTGGTCTCAAAAAACTTACAATTATCACTGAAGAAATCGTATATAATCTAGCCAAGTCAAAAGAGAATTAAGGGATGAAAAAATAGTGTATTCTGACACTCAGATCTGTGGTTCCTTCTCTTAGGACTTTTCTAACTCCCTGAAGTCTGCGTGTGTGTGTGTTGGAAGTGTTAGCTACATATTAACTCATTTAATCTTCAGTCTATGAGATGTCACTATTACTATTCTCCATTTTAGACAGAAGGAAACCACAAGCATACAGAGATTAACTTGCCTAAAATTATTTGTCTGTATTAATAAAGTGTGTTTCAAGTAATTTTTAAAACGACTGAAAAAACTATATACTCTTTATAGATAACTCTTCTGATAAGTAACTATCGTGCCTACTAAGGGCCTAGTAAATAGAAAAACGTTAAGCTCCTTATAGTCAAAAGCAGTGATTCATGAAAAATAACAGTAACACAAGGAACAGGAAATTTATCTCCTTGGAGCGGTAAGAAAGTCTTAGGGTCGAAAGAGTCTAATGGGTTAATGAATTAGTGAACGAATAATCTTAACTCAGTTCAGGGGACCTCCAGGTAGCCTCTCCCGCCAGTCACCTCACCTTTCTCCTCCCACACAGTCTCCGAACAAACCAATGGGAATGTCTCCTGTACGCATGCGTGTCACATGCGTGTCACCGACTCGACGATCCTTCGCATCGATGCGCTCGAAAACAACTCCTTTAGCCTGACCACTGCCTGCGTAGACAGTAGCCCCGCTGCCACCGTCGCCGCCATTTTGACGGCTGGAAGAGTCAGGGTCTGTACTGCTGGAGGCGGCGCGGCGGTGGAGACTGGTACGGATCGTTTCTGCCCACGTTAGCCCCTCCAAATTCGTGGTTTGAAGCCACAGTCTTGATATTGCCCTTATTCTCAAGGACCCATGTGGCTTTCCTCGATCGTCCTGTCACTGTCTTTGTGCTTTTTTTCGCTTCCTCATGCTTCTCCCAAACCTTTGCTTGGAGCTGTTTTGTCAGGAAGCCCAAGTTTTTGTTAAAATACCTGCCAAGACCCGCAGGAGTCTACCCTGACCTCCGCCACCCCATCCCCCGTCCGAGTTGTCACCCGGGTGGGGCATAAACAGGGAGGGTTTAGAGCCGCCCGGCCTCCTCCTGCTGGGATCGGTGCCCCGTAGGGGTTGGGAGCGAATTCTGGCCCCTTTGGGTTAAAGGGAACTTTTCAACTTTGGCCCTGCGACGGTGGGAGCACACAGTAGGAGATCGGGGTGTCACTGAGCTCCCTGTTGTTAGACCTTAATCCGTCAGTAGTCTGTTTTGTTTCGTCCTTTCCCAGGAATAACTTTTCAAAAGGAAAGCTATTTTTCGTCTGCCCTCTCCGGTAGAAATGGCCAATGTGAGTAAATAAATAAGTCTCTACCCCTTGGTAGAATAGTTTGGGGACTTGTTAGGAAATGGAGGGACGGGTTTGATTGTGATGGCACTGAGGGCGTCATGTGTCCCGTGATTGGACGGTGTACCAGAAATGCCAAGGGAAGCAGGCGTTGTGAAATTACGTGTGCTTGGAAGGTAGTTTGAGCACATACACTTTTTAGGACACGTATGCTTATTTCTAAAACTCATTTTTAGGGATAAATTAGTGCCAGCATCCTTTTCAGTATTTTTAAAGACGTTTCAGTAAATGTTTAGAGTCTAGTTTTAAAGCTGCCCTTTTTTCTCCTTTGACTAGCTTAACAGAGATTTTGTAACAATTTGGGTACAGGAAGTGACTGTCCAAACTACAAAATGAGAGCAAAAGGTATTATTCATGTAGACCAGAGATATTTATTCACTGTTACCTGTTCAATGATAAAAGAGATACAACCTGCAGTAAGAAGTTCTTCCTACAGTAAGAAGTTCATCTTACAGTAAGAAGTTCATCCTACAGTAAGACTTACAGGAAAACGGCTACAATAAAATGTACTGATTTTATCATTTAGTTCTTTATTTTTAATAGAAAGTACATATTTTTAAAAAGCTACACAAAAATACAAAGCAGATTCTGAGCTTTGTGGAAAGGGGAGAGTTAGGGGTTCAAAATCCATAATTGTGAAGCATTTCATTTTTATTTTGAAAAGTGGTTGGAATTTAGGAGCCGGAAGTATATTTTAAGACATCCCAGCTCTTAAAAATCATTAATTCCAGTTCTACTGCCTGAATGTAAAATGGGTGGAGGATATGGTGGGAAATACGGTTGAATTGTGAAGTTGACATCAAGTAATAGCCTTAGTCCCAAACTCAACATTTATTATTTATTTTTAATTGTGATTTAATCAGAATATTACCTTAGGAAAATAAATATGACAGCAGTTAGTATGGTATTCTTATAATTGAGCATGGTATATTAAAGTAAAAGTCTAATGTTCTGACTATAGGAACAACTTAAAAATGGGTACTCATCCTTGTAAAGTGAATTTTTTTCTTTGACATAACCACAGAAAGGAAATGTTAGGAAAGAAGGATGAATTATTCTTAAAAGGGAAAAACATTAAAGTGGAACAGAATGCTTCCTTTTGATTTAAATAATAAAGTTCAGTGGGGTGAATATTTTGAAAGATACTTTTATAACTCATTTTGTTGCTATAAAAATGTTTATATCATACAAATTTCAAAATTCAAATATACTTTTAAAAAGCTTGTTAGATTATATTCATTAAGTGCTGAATGGATATCAGAAATGATATCACTAATTTAGTTAGCATACATGGTAGGTGTCATGAATGTCCAAGGTTCAGAGACTAGACAAGTAAATTTAAAAACCTAGATGTGGGCCCTCCCTGGTGGCGCAACGGGTTAAAAGCTCAGCACTGGGAAGCTTAAGCCACTTCCGCATGAGTTCGATTCCCACCTGCCCTGGAGGAGATCCACATGGTGTGGCAGACCTTCCTGACCCGCCTGCTGCTCCCCTCAGCAGTGTACTTCGTCCATCTGCCTGTTCTGCTCCCCACTCTGTCTCTGGTGAATCCTCTCACCCTCCGCATCTCTGGCCTGTACCCCAGTTCTGTACAAATAAATAAATAAATCTTTTTAAAAAAAGAAAAAAAAAAACCTTGATGTGGACCAAACAGATATACTAATTTCTGATATAAAAGGAGCAGCATTCTTGTAGCCATGGTGATTTGTTGCTAATGCCAGTAGGAAATCCAGTGTGCCAGATTGTGGGTATTCAAGAACAGCCTAAATTCTCACAGCCCAAAATGCTCACAATTTCAGTGTTTATACCCAATTCAAATTTAATATAAAGACTGGACCACACAAAAATGTGGAAGAGGATAATATAAATGAGGATGGATATGAATGTATTTCATGGGTGATCAGTTTTCAGCCTTTGATATACACTTTATTTTTCCTCACATGAACAAAAGTATAAGTTAACCCTAAGACAATACCCAAAAAGCTTTTTCTCTTCTTATACTAATAAGGATTTTACAATAAAATCTTAATAGCCTGTGATGTTCCAAAATCTTGAGTCCTACATTTGTATGAAGTTAGTCATATATTAAATAGCATATTTATTCTTGAACTAAAATAAACTGGCTCTTCTAATTTGTGTGTTCTTTATTAACTGTCACTTTAAATTATTATATTAACCAGGCTAACCCAGTGCTGTAAAATATGTCCTCAAGTTTTGCACAAAATATTCAGTTCCATAGTAAAAGATATCAGAATCATAGATAAGAGTTAAGATTTGAAACAAATTTGTACTGTTACCATTTGTCCCTTGCAAATTAAATGCTATCATAATTATTTGCCCTACATATGAAACTTGGTAATAAGATGTTCCTAGATAGGAAATAGTAATTTCTAATAGTACACCCAAGTCTTGAAGAAAGAGATGTAATTTACCAGGCCTAAAAGAAAGGGGAAATGGGCATCTTAACTGAACAAGTCTTGTAGCAGTATAAAAGAACTTAACTGAGAACCAACATATGGGTTAGATTTCAGAGTAATATATGAAAGGGGAAAAAGTAATTCTGAAGTATCAACTGGATAAACTGTTTCAACATCCTATTGACTAGTTTTTATACCATCTTTCTAACCCTACTCCAAGCCATTTACATAATGTTCTTAATGGCACATTGCTTAAAAACACCCCTCAGATTAAAATTCTGACTTATCTTGATGTAGGCTCTGTACATCAACTGTAAGACCTTTTATAGTTGTCCACAAGTTAACAGTCATTTACTATATACTATATATACCCCCCTGTGCCCACCTTTATTGAACTTGTCAGTTGTCTAAATATACCTTTTATGATTCTATACTTTTTTCCTGAAAGTTACTCATTGAGGTGACTTTTTTTGCCAGTAAATTTCTTCAAAACCTATCTTCCTATCTCCCCTGTGAAACTTTTTCTGTCACCCCTGGGCTTTCTTAACTGTTCATACACCTTTAAATATTTCACAGACAATATAGTATTTTTTCTTTTCTGCTTAACTAGAAATCAGCTTTGTTGTTGTTCTAACATAACCAGGTAATAAATATTTTAGACTGTGAGCCAAAGTCTTTGTTCAACTACTTAACTCTGCCATTGTGGACAGACAAATGTTTGGCTGTGTTACAGTAAAACTTTGTATACCAAAAAGCTGTATTCTATAGTTTAGTAACCCTTGTATTAAATTATTCTAACCCAATTTTTAGCCACGTTTTTTTGGCTAAAAATTTATGTATCAAAGATATGCTGCAGATACACATTATTCCATTACAACTGACCTCAAAGACCAGAAAATAAACATAGAAAGAAAATGGACCACAAAGGCACATACTAATATAAAGGAAAGCGATACTGCCATAAAACCAAGAGGGAAGATAGCATGATAGATAATTAGTAGCAAGACAAAAGAATTACAGCAGTGAAACAAGAATTAGAAAGCAAACAGGTTATATAGCTAGGAGGGGTTTTGAAAATGGAGAATCATATCAGTTGTGCTTTTTAATGCATTTGCTAAATGGAGCCACTTGTAGAGATTTCTGCTCTCTTTAATATGATTCTGGCCATTGTTGAAGAAAGGCTTATACCTTTGCCAAAAGTAACTTAGTATTTTTCTTTTATTCTTGTTTGTTTATAAAATTATAAATATATATAGTCATTGAATATAATAGGTGCTTAGTAACAATAGAATAAATGTTAGCTTTCAAGAGTCAGCTAGAAATTGTCTGTGTAAGTATAGCATATCTAGAAGAAATCATTTTAACTTTTGTGTCATTTGTAGGTACTCTGTAATAGAGCCAGACTGGTTTCCTATCTCCCAGGATTTTGCTCTTTAGTTAAAAGGGTTGTCAATCCCAAAGCCTTTTCAACTGCAGGATCGTCAGGTTCTGATGAGTCTCACGTGGCCACTGCACCTCCAGATATATGTAAGTAAACCTTATTGCTTCACTTAAATCATTTTTCTCAAAATGTTTTGAACTGTTGTCTATGGTAGTTCTTCCTTAGGTTTTGCTCATTTTCTAAAGTTGTTATTTATCCCCTTGAAAGTAAAATATACAATATAAAAAAATAATAATTATTATTGTTTTTTAAACTTTATTTCTTGAACTTTAAGTTTTATTCTATCTTCCCAAACACACAGTCCTTTCCAAACAAATCTTTTGAACCTATGAAATTTTGTTACCATTTTCTCCCCATTATTTGCTGAATTTCTTAAATGTAGCTGGTGTTTACCAGTAACTTACCCACTATATACAAAGTCAGCTTCCACTATCTAATCCACTTTATATACCGCTATCCTACTAATCAGTTGAAAATTTCTTAATCGTGGCACTTCTTTCATAAACCTTGGTTATCTCTCACTGTTTTCAGTAACAGTCCCCAAGTTATCCTCAAGCTATGAATCATTGTTCAGGATCTAAAAAAACATTTTCTGTTTGTAATTAGGTAGGTTGGAGAAGTGCTATGATGCACACTAACCTATTTATTAAAATACTAACGAGTGCTTGTAGAACCTACCTTATGTGGCACTTTACTTGCAATGTAAATTTGTTTCAGCATTCAGACTTAATCATCTTGTCAGTCTTCTTTTATAATGCCATCTCAGATTACTCTCCTACATATAGCATCTGAAGACTTAACATGGATATAAGTATCATAAATGAAACATTTTTACAGTATGTAAAGGGTTTGTATCCTAAAAATATAAAGAGTTTTTATAGATCCATAGGAAAAAGACAACCCAATAGAAAAACCAAACACTTACATGGCCAGCAAATATGATAATATGCCCAAATCCACTATTAATACAGGATAGTTATTTTTGTTAAAGAGAATATTGGATCTGCATACTCTTTAAAACCCATTTGTCAAAAAATAGCTAATATGTTTTAGCCTGTAAACTCAACACCAGTTAGTTACTAATAGCTCTGTAGTGCCTGTTCTTCAACATGATCTCAGACCAGTAACATCAGTATGATCTGGGAGCTTGCTGGAAATGAAGAATCTTGAGCCCTCACTCCAGTCCTACTCATAAAGATCTGAAATGATTCTTAAATCCTTAAAAAGCTTGCAAAGTATTGGACTAGAATGTTTGGATTGAAAATTGTAAGTCTGTGCCTAAGTTCTGCAGGAAGGAATTCATAATGATGGATGATACCCATTATAAGTGTAAAAGAACTATAGGGTGGTATTTATGATGTAATGAGCAAGATTATTATCAGTCTTTCTGTTCAGTCAGGGTATTAAAAGTTATCTTTGTTGCCACTTTGTATATGCAAAATTAACCCTTTTTCTAAATTCAAATTCCTACTCTTGTCCTTCTTTAATTTTCTGCTAAAGTATTTTCTGAGTCTTGTTGGATTTTTCACAAGATACTTAAATTTATGATTTTTTTAAGTTTACTATATATATATTTTTTTAAGATTTATTTATTTATTTATACAGAACTGGGGTACAGGCCAGAGACACAGAGGGTGAGAGGAATCACCAGAGACAGAGTGGGGAGCAGAACAGGCAAATGGACGAAGTACACTGCTGAGGGGAGCAGCGGGTGGGTCAGGAGAGGTCTGCCATACCATGTGGATCTACGCCAGGGCAGGCGGGAATCAAACTCATGCGGAAGTAGCTTAAGTTTCTTAGTGCAGTGCTTTAACCCACTGCACCACCAGGGAGGGCCCAAGTTTACAATATTTTTATCAAGCATTGTATATGCTGGGCTGTATCTGGTAGACTTATTTCCCTAATAATGGATTTCCCTGTGAACTGACAACTGGTTACTCTGATTATAGAGTTTTGAAAATGACATAAAGCTAATGTAATGTCAGACAAGAAAGTAAATTTCAAAAACCTATCCTTTAGTAAAAACACTAAAGTAAAAAGCATTTAATTATAAGAAAAACATTGTTTCAGTCAGCCAACACACTTGACTGTTAACATACTTGTTGTTCTTTAGGCTCTCGAACAGTTTGGCCTGATGAAACTATGGGACCCTTTGGACCTCAGGATCAGAGATTCCAGCTCCCTGGGAACATAGGTTTTGATTGCCACCTCAATGGAACTGCATCACAGAAAAAAATCCAGGGCCATAAAACTTTACCTGATGTTCTAGCAGAACCCCTATCAAGTGAAAGACATGAGTTTGTAATGGCACAATATGTAAATGAATTTCAGGTAAATTGTTATCATTACATATTCTTATTTTGTAATTGTTAATGTGTTAGTTTGTTTACTGTAAGCATATCACTTTGAAAAGGTTAAAAAAGTGAAATTCTAATATATACAAAAATAACAGCTTTTTAAAAGTTGGTATTATATGATACGTATACTCTTTTACTTAATTAGGTAGTTATTCCAAGGTATCTTTTTTTTTTTTTTAAGATTTATTTATTTATT